CTAGAAGCCTTAGTCTGGCCCATCTCAGGTGTGTTAACTCTGCCCATATTCTGAGCCTGGGACCCATAGGTGAGGGAAGTTGTTAAAGTCTCGGCCTGTCACTCCTTCCTTGCACACAAATCTTAGTAGCCCCCTCGTCATGATGCCTGAGGCCAGGATCCCAGACCGTGCCCTCACCTTGCTCTTCTGCCTGCTTTCCTGCCTGCTCTCCTGTCTCCAACCAGTAAGCGCCAACCAGGTAAGCCAGACTTCTGAACCTTTTGGAGGACCCTGTGGGACAGAGGTTTGCCTCGAAGACAGTCCCTTCTTTACCTTTTCAGGAATTCCTTGTAACCAATGGCAATTAGCAACCCCTTTCTGTTTAGCTTGGGGAAAATTGGGTACGGACCTTGGAGGGAGCTCTGTGGAAATGTGGGCCCCTAGTTTTTGCCAGGTTGTGTTGTTAGTGGGATCTGGCTCCACCGACAAACCTGAATGGGAACTCTGATCCCTGTTTTTGTAGTGTTTCTAATTTAGCTTCTCCAATATAATGCTGAGGAATTTGAGGTCTTCATGTCTAGGTGAGGCATCTGTATATCCCTGTTACCTGATGGCTGTCACCTTGCAATATATGGACACGCAATGGGGATTCTTCAAGTGTACTAGGGAGGAGGAGGCTCTCTGTACTTCCTTGATAAGTTGCAGCTTTCCTCTGGCTTAGACTTGGATGTCTGGCCCTGGGCTGGTTGGTCTCTGAATTGCATGGATCAGGGAGGCAAGGTTGTGAGCACTGCCCCAAGCTTTTGTTCCTCCTATATAACTTTTAAGTGTCTTGGATTGGCAGATTATCCTGCAAACAGAGAGGTAGTCAGAACAAGTTTTAAATTTATATTTGTGGTTGAGAATCTGTTATGCAGTGGGGGTGAAGAACCAAGCTTGAACTTCAGGACAGTTCACTGACTGTTGAAGTTCACTGGAATAGAAGTTCTCTGATAAGAATGATCTTGAACTCAACAGACATCTGCCTTTACTACCTCAGCCCTGGCATTGAAAGTGAGCTTGAATTTAAGAGAAGCTGTGTCACAATTGTTACCAGGGCTTCAATGTAATACTAGAGCAGGGTGGTGTTGCTAAGCATAGCAAGTTCCAATACCTGAGGCTATACAGAGAGACCAGGAGTGTGGGGAGTGGGCAGAGTCTGAGAATTGGAAGAGCAGGAGATGTGACTGAGTTCCTGTTTGCCTTGCTGTGTCTTTAATTTCTTCCTACATCTATCCTCACAAAAGAACAGTGCTGCTGTAAGACTGTGACCATCACTGGTTCCATTGTCTTTGCTCTTAAAATGCTATTGTAATGATCAATAGCAAAGACAAATGCTGCCTTCCCATTCCATATCTGTTGAGACAGTGTATAGTCCTGGCTCCTCCACAAATTGCTAGGGATACCAAGCTGGCCTCAAACTAACAGACCCACCTGCCTCTGCCTCTGCTATGCTGGGATGAAAGGCAAGGACCACCACAGAGGGCAATGGTTGTCATTTTAAGTGAGCCAGAAAGTGATGCCTTGTGGAAAAGTAGAAGAGAGACCTAATTAAGAGCTTAGACAAGATGGAATTCTGATAGAGGCCCTTAATTCCCTGCAAGGACATGAGGATGAATGGGGCTTGAGTGCATTCAAGAAAATGTTAGAAATGCCTCTACCTTGGACATGTAGAGCTGAGGGGTTGGGCCTTAGGTTGCTTTCTGGAGATTTTGGAGACAGGGATCCACACAAGATGGATCATGGGCTAATCCAAACAGTGTGGGTGTGGCAGGGGGAATTATCTGTGAGCCAGGTAATAGTGTTCCACACCTTTAATCCAGCAGTCTGGAGGTGGAGACAGGTAGACCTCTGAATCCCTGGCAAGCCAGGGATACATAGTGAGACCCTTCCTGTCTCAGGGGGAAGAAGAGAGGGAGTCAGACATGGTAGTGCATGCCATCAATACAAACACGTTAGGCAGAGGTAGGCTCCAATCATTGGCCATTGACATGGAGCTAGATGGAGGCACAGTCAGTCTGATACTCAGCCCAAGATTCTGAGACTAGCCTCTGGTTTTTCTTTTTGAGAAAGTTTCTAATTCTGGTATCCAATTGGGCCTCAAATTGGCTTTGTAGCATTGAATGATTCTCCTGCCTTCTTGAGTTTTGGGACTGTGGCCATGTACTGCTATTCTGGTTTATGCACACCTGATTTATTGCCATGGATGGAAATTGACCCCAACACCTAATGTGTGTTGGGCAAATAATTTAGTACCAGAAACCCAACTCCCAGGTTTTAAGGTCTGACCTCTGCCTATTTTTCTTCCACAGGTTAAAGCTAACTGTGACACCATGTAAGTATGGGATTAGCTCTAGTCTATCAAGGTTGGGGTTTTGTGGGGTCTAGTTGGTGGGTGATGGTATGCTCAGATATGCCCTGGAGAAGGACACAGATACCTCCTCCTCACTCTTGCTAATTTTGCTGAAACCATATGCCCCTCCAACAACCCAATATTGGGAATTGCATAATTGGTGCAGTTCTGTATCTGCTGTTAATCTCTTAACGTTATTACCTAGAGCCCCATAACTGCCCTGTAAGATTTAGTAGCATGGTCATCCTGCCTGAGTAACCCTGAACTCAGGTCTCATGTCCAGGCCTAGTCCTCCCAGTGAACCTAGGGTGGTCTGTACCCCACAGCCACGAGTATGACTTGCAACCTGAGGGTATAGGTGTCTAAGGAGGCATGGACCCTTTGTTGTGACACTTTGGATGCCATCTGTGTCTCCCCATCTCTGTCTGACTTAATCAGAACCTGCCCAAAAGGATTCAGATGCTGTGAGAGTGGATGCTGTCTGCCAAAGGAAACCATTTGGCATTCTTCAAATGAATCTTCATGGTAAGCCATGGTCAGACCTTCTGGGTACCATTCAGGGATGGATCCACCTGAAATAGGATGGGGTTGGGTGATGGAGAAGAGTGGTATAGTCACTCAGGGAGAGATCATTCCTTCTGCAGGATCCTGGTTTTTGTTTCCCTGGCCATGATGCATCTGTTCTTCATCTGCGGCCTGATGAAGTGCTT